GTCATCAGTTCTGGAACAACCAATGGAACATCTTGTAACTACGTCATCAGTTCTGGAACCACCAATCGAACATCATGTAACTACGTCATCAGTTCTGGAACCACCAATTGAACATCATGTAACTACGTCATCAGTTGGGGAACCACCAATTGAACATCAAACAACTGAGTCAACAGTTCTCGAGCATTCAGTCAGAATTGACTCAACTACGTCATCAAGTCGAGAACAGCAAATGTCAGAAAATAAAAACTCCGACGACGACAAGAAAAGTTCGAATGAAGATCAAGATGATGTTAGCCAATCGTCAACACCCGACAGTAAAACAACTGATTTGGACGACCTTACTACTGTTAGTTTGGACTGGGATTCCTTCAAACCGGACGAAACTTCTCCAATGACAGCCTCGAGTTCGTATCGACAGTAAGTCTAATGAGTTAGGGGATTCATTAGACCAATGTTTGATACGGTAATGAAGTGAAACGTCTTGCGCATAACGATCACTAGAAAGTATTAAGAAGTTGATGTAGAAGATCTGTTCGTGGGATACTATGGGTCGAGTGATCAGTTATGATAACAAGAAAAAGCGTTGCCTTGTCGTTGGTGTATGGCCTCGACCAGGGTTTTGTTTAAGAGCATCTAGGGCGGCGCATGCGTGTGTCAAGTGACAAGCTATGGAATGTATTTGAGACATTTTGGACCCTTGTCAAACATTGTAAAGGGTATAGTGTTGTAACCCAGATCATGTGTTTTTGTGTAAAATATTTAATTTTTGTTTGTTGACGTGGATCAAAGTCTGGTGGTTGAATTGTGAAAAAAGGGGTATGTTTTAAATCACAGCCGTTTCTACCGCCCCATCCGCTAAAAGTATTGTTTATTTCAAGGATCGCAGATTATATACTACGAAACGAAACATTTTGAATTTGGCGGAAAATGTATTATTGTTATTTGGATCATGTGCTGAATCAAAAGAAATAATTTTAGAAAAGAAATATTTATTGTTTCGTTTCATTTCAAAATCCGTGATTTGACGACATCAAAAATTTTTCGACAATGTTTCGTTTTTCAGTATGAATCTACGATCCTTAAATTGGAATAAACAATACGTTATACCATTGTAGGCCTATATATTGTACATAATTAGCCTAACCTCTATTTTGTCTTTTTTGGGAGGGGGAGGGGTTTGGGGGGGGGAGGGGTTAGGGTTAGGGTTAGGGTTTAGGGTTAGGGTTGGGGGTTAGGGGGGGAAGGGGGGTGGTAGGTAAAATTCATTATTTAAAAATAATGTTATTTTGAGTATAAGGATATTGCGGTTCGGATCGTAGCCTATTGTTTATTCTTTTCAAATCGTGTTTCTAGTAGCTTCATTTATTATTCTCTAAATGTCGGAAGAAATAAACTACATTCAGTCATTATAAATTCATGTTAACCTAACCTTGAAATATTACAATAAAAAATAGAAATATATTTATAGCTCCCATTGTTATTTTGAATCACGCTTGTGTCATTTTTTTTTTTTGTCCAAATTGTTACATATTAGAAATAAATCAGATAAAAACGTTAAAATCCATAGTTTGTAGAGTCTTTATTCCAAGTTAAGGTGGAAATAGACGATGTAGGTGTCCAGTGCGAATCTTGTTTCACTGTGTCCGACCCGTACGCCGTGTGTTCACTTCTTCTATTTTCTAGTGTATCGATCATTCCCACCTTTAAACGAACACTACCTCTTAATAAACAAAAATATAAAATTCTTAAACTTGGCTAATAACAGTATTATATTCATTGGTGGACTTACGTGGTGTCATACATATTTAACAGAATCCATTATAATCGGATATTGAACGAAATTTAAATTTTAGGTTTAATGTAAGAGGTAGTTTGTTTTAAATAAAGCTGAAATGACTGAACGACAGTCAGTATCAAGGAGAGGGGTGGGGGGTGACGTAGTGCCATGGGCCATAAAAATAAGAAATTTATTATACTTCCACTTCCAACTTAGTTAGTGCACTCTTAATTTACAAAAGGGCGCCGGGGTGCTCGGATTATCTATATTTACGGAGAAATGAAGGAATTGGGAATGTAACTCGAGTAGTTACTAGACATCGAATCGAACGCACCTATATTTTCGTGTAAAAACAAGTAGGCCTACAGTCCTTGATAGAAACCACTATAGTAAGCCCTAGTAATGACCAATCATATTGATAGAGTCAATCAATAGTATTAGAGACAATTGTTGCGCGATACATAGTAACGGCGGCTGAATTTCAATAAAATCGGTATATTATTCAACACGTATACAAATTCATATTAAAACCTTTTAGACTGCAGTCGGTGTCAAATTACACAAGCTGAGGAAAATACTTAACTTTCAGGTAATTTTGGGAATTTGGTAGTTTATTTAACGAGTTGTATTTCTAGGCTAGGTTATATCAAAGAAATTAGGAATAACTTCTGACTAGTTAGAAAAAGGGCGGGAAAGTTTTCTGTATCTTAATCAAACAGTTGTGGTATGATTAATTGGTAGGCCTATCAGAAATATTTTTTTGTAAAATAAACAATGAGAACAGTTACTAAATATTTGGGCTACTAATAACACTTTAGAGGCGCAATCGTCGTCACCCAGCCTAAGGTTGTGTTTTTCCCGCCAATTTCAGAATTCTTGTTATAACTTGAATACATTGTCTTTTGTGTACGTGGACAATTTGGTCGTTAAGTTTACATTGTAATTATATAATAGCGGTGGTAAGCATAGTCTGCCTGTGTAAACGTAGCAGTATAGGAGTTCTACAAGATACTTGACATCGCTTAATTGACAGATCATTCGTTCTGTTTTTTTTTTATTATCTCATATTTTACAGCCATCTTAACGTTGATCAAATTAGCCTTTCGACCTAACCTGATAAGCACTGCGTCACAAAATGCCAGCCAGAAGGTAGAAATATGATTGGTTAAAGCAGAATTCATTAGTTAGGTCACAAGGTTACTTTGATGAACGTTCAGGAGGGCTGTCGTTAGACTATAACTGAAGTGGGTTTAATTGTTGAAAAATAAAAGCTAATAACAAAACGAAACGAAATTTGGTCTAATCCTAATCAGACTGCATAAGTGGCAAGGAAAGCTGAAACGCAATTGGCCTGCGACATACCTGGTTATCTTATGAAACGTATAGTGTATATCGAATATCAATTGGATATAATATGTACTGACTTTCTATATAGCTTGGTTTTAGTTATCCGTAATACTGTCATTTAGTTAAATTTTGCGTCACTTCCGGGCCATCCCATTTCAGATAACATTCCAAAGGGGATTTCTAGCAGATGACGTCATGAAATAGTCAGTGAGGACTATTATTATATATATTATCTTATTATATTACTCTATGCGTTCAGTGCATGAAAACCATCTTGACTTCTCATTAGTAGATGCAAGTTTTTGAATAACTTTTAACTTATTTTTACAGAATGACTGATAGAAAAGCTGTTATTAAAAATGCCGACATGTCGGAAGATATGCAAGCCGACTCTATCGAATGCGCCACCCAAGCCCTGGAGAAATTTAACATTGAAAAAGACATTGCTGCCTACATCAAGAAAGAA